AGTTCTGCGTAGTTCCGGGGCCAAACACCAGGGCAAGAGGTTTCCCCGACATCAAAGGCGCCGCCACAGAGTGCCCAGTCTTCTTAGTATAAGGTCATTGTTTGGTCCCGCCCTCCCGAGAAACCCCCCGCTCTTTTTGGGTCGGGATGCGTCTGCCACCTGGTTTCATCGAGCGTAACCATGTAATGGGTCCGGTCGAAGGTGTTCGAGTGTTAAAAGGGAGCACTTTTGCAACGTAACGTGCGTCGATCGAGAGTCTGGGATTCTAGGGTAGAACTCCAACAGAACTCACTTTCGCATCGGTGGCCTGACTAAATAATGCATCGAGAAATACGAGGCCTTGGGAAGCCGCTCGTGCCTGCAACGCGTCCGCGCCATGCACGGATGACCAAGCCCCTCCCATCCTCCATTCTCCACCCTCCACCCTCCATCCTTTATTTCCTCCATTCTCCATCCTCCATCCTTTATTTCCTCCATCCTCCACCCTCCATCCTTTATTTCCTCCATTCTCCATCCTCCATCCTTTATTTCCTCCATCCTCCACCCTCCATCCTTTATTTCCTCCATCCTCCACCCTCCATCCTTTATTTCCTCCATCCTTCACCCTTTATTTCCTCCATCCTTCATCCTTTATTTCCTCCATTCTCCACCCTCCATCCTTTATTTCCTCCATCCTTCATCCTTTATTTCCTCCACCCTCCATCCTTTATTTCCTCCATCCTCCTCTTTACCTTCGGACGACGGATAGGCGGAAGGCGGGGACCACTCGGTCGTGGCCTCTCTCGCGGCAAGCCGTCGTCACCAGCCTCATCATTGTCTCGAGGATCCTTCAGCCTTTAACTATGCTAAGATTGATCGATGGTCCGGGAGACTCCCCCGGAAAGGAATGGATGCGATGGAAAATGCCAAATAGGAAACCCCCTCCCACTAGAGCTCAGGGGAAAGGGGACAGGGGGGCAATGAGCAGGAAAGGATTTCCCGACCTCATACGATCGGTCTGGCAATTTCCTGTCTCGATTAAACCGATCTCTTCTCATCGTGGCTCTTACTAGACAGAGGATCGTAATCGATCGACCGCGACCCACGATCCGATTTCGCGGGTGCGAGGAAAAAACAGCTGGCGATAAACATCCCCTTGTCCCGGCCGAGATCGCGATTGACGAAGGAACAGAAATCGCTCGATCGACGTCGGAAAGGGGCGTGGACGGTCGAGGAACACGGTAAGAGACGAGAATTTATTCTGCGCATGCAGCCGGACAGACACAACTGACGAAGAAAGACCGGATCGACGAAGATCGACGAGGGAGATTCGCGCGGGAGCCGAGTCGCGAACGCGCCGTTTTCGTTCTTCGCGCTCCTCGCCGGTTTCACGGTCGCGTTCCGACACCATCTTGGAGTGGGACTTCACGGGACCTCCGGCCCGTCACTGGACTCCTCAGTCCCTCACGGGACTCCCAGCCCTTCACGTCTCTCGTCGTTCCACATGACATAAGCGTAAGACGATGCGACGCGACGGTCGTCGCGCGCCCACAGAACGAACTCGACGGCAGCGTCTCGGAAGGTGGAGCAGCGTCTCGGAAGGTGGAGCAGCGTCTCGGAAGGTGGAGCAGCGTCTCAGAAGGTGGAAGGTGTCGCGGACCGGTAGACGGAGCGGGCGGGCGCCGCGAGCCCGCGTCCCCGGACGCAGGCGAACAGCCCCCCGAGGTTCCGCAGGAGATTCCGGTTGAAGAACATGTAAATCCACGGGTTCACGCTGCTGTTCAGCGCCAGCATGTGAGCGAACACGCTCACCACCAGTGGACCTGGCAAATCAAAGAAAAATACAGTATCACAATTTTTTTTTGCCTTTGTTGCTTCTCGACGCGCTTTCGCCTTCCTAATGGCGAAATTATTTTCGCGGGTGTATCCTTCCCCCCGGAGGAATCCCCCTTGACGATTCGATCCACCGCTTAATAGAGATATTATGCAAAGCACAGATTCGAAGAGATACATCTCGAAACATCTTATTAACCTTTCAACAATGAATTAATCCTTTCGGGTTCCGGGCGCAACCTGCCGTCGCAAGCGACGGCTTTTCATCGATTTCGAGAAAATGTCCATAAATTCGCCAATTCGCCAGTCCGTTAGGATTCTTTTCTTATGGAACTCCTTATCATCTAGGGCGACATTTACGGCCACGAAGACGATAGAAAACGAGGACGTCGAAGAGCGCCGACCAGAGAGAACGGAACCGCTTCCCTAACCATAAAGGGAGTATGCCTTCTCTGGATGACACTTCCTACCTGGACGCGAGAAAAGCAGTCGAAATTCTCGACTGCCCCAAGAATGCTGTCTGACCTGACCACACCCTACTACTTCCTGCTTCACCCTATCCCTTGCTCCCTTCCACCATGTTCCCTTCCCTCTTCCCCCTTCCCCCTTGCCCCGTCCCCCCCTCCAACTCACCCAAAGCCTCCGTGACCACATCTGCCCCCGCATAGACGATCCAGAGCAACGTGACGCTGAACGGCGCCGAGCAGACGATGTAGCATCCGATGACGACTGTGGTGAGCTTGGCCGTCTTCAGCTTCGCCTTGGAGATGTTCTCGCTGGAACTCGCCCTGGGATTCACCGCTCCGTCTCCTCGCCCCGTCCTTGCAGCGATCTCCTTCCGCCTCGCGTTCGTCCAGATCGTCCAGTAGATGTTCACATACGAGAACGTGACGACGACCAGAGGGACGAAGAAATTGGTCGTCACGAAGAACGTAACGTACGCCCTTTCGCCCCATTCCACTGCGAACGTCCCGTAGCACTGCGTCTTCGTGGTCCCGTCCTTGTCCTCGAAGTCCACGGCGGAGAAGATGACCAGTTGTGGGATGCTGAACATCAACGCCAGGAACCAGGCGGTGGCGATCTTCCACTTCGCGTACGACCGACGCTGGTAGGACATCGGGTGACAGATGGCCTGGTATCGGTCCAAGGACATCATCACGAACACGTACGAACTGAGGTACATCCCAAGGACCTGCAGGTACTTGAGCAGCTTGCACGCCACGTTCCCCCCGTACCACCACGTGTAGATCTTCCAGATCATCTGGGTGAAGTCGGTGAAGAATGCCGTGATGAGATCCGCCACGCAGCAGTGCCCGATGAAGTAGAAGAGCCGGGTCATCCTTCCCCGTTCCATGACGAGAGCGACGAGAAGCAGCACGTTCCCCACCAGGGTCGACGCGAACAGGACCCCCACCGTGATCACCTCCCATCCCGTATTCTCTGCTGTAGTCGTCCCGTTCGTCTCCGCTTCCGCGCCGAGCTTCGCATCGTCGGAGGCGTTCATCGCGGACTGCCTACTTGATCTCGCTCTCGGGACGACTGGGAGGATCCGCCCGGTGCGCATCGGTTCCATGTGCGTTCCGCGCAAGCCGTATCGCATAGTCGTCTCTCCTTGGTCGTGACACATTTTGATGGATGTACGTGTTGACTCTCAATGACTTACGTCTCAATGATGACGGGACTACCTTGTCAGCGTCTTTAAGTGGTTCGTTTGCTTTGGGATTATAATTCATTACTCCTGCTCCATTTTCAATATTTTCTTTTTCCTCCACATCGTAGTTTACTTCACCTTCATCTTTTTCTTTTTTTCGCGAATGCCCTAAATAATCGAAGCAATTGCAAGAGTAGTTCCTTATTCCCTTTCCAGCCTAAATTCCTCCGCAAAACAAATATAGACCTTTCTTTTCATGGATCTAACTACTTTTGCCTACGGAGCCTCGCGCGAAATACGTATTACTCATATTGCTCACGTATCACTAATCACCGAGGGCCAGGGCGAGAAAACAGATTTTCGTCCGCAGTCGTTTCAAGTTTCCTGAGGCCTGAGAATAAAAAAAAACAACTAATGTTTCCCTACCCCTGATCGGGGCGACGAGTGGGACGATGACGACTTATTGCATGGGGGAGGATCTCCATGACAGAGCACGCAGGGTGGTGGGCACTCGCGACGGACACCTCCCACCGGGTACGCGGCCGGGGAAGTATCTGGGTTCCATCAAAGGAGCGCTTCGGTTTGGCGCTTAACGCTTTGGATTAAAGTCAATCGATTTTCCGGAAGACACGCGAAAGTGGGTCAGAGCCCACGTAGAATTACCAGTTTCGAAGGGGGATAAGAAATTATTTCGAGATTCTCCGCGTCGGTCATGATAACGAAGGACCTCCGAAGACCCAAATCAGAGCATCGCGGGTCGATCTCGAGGGCCTGCTAACAAACGGGGCTTAAGGGTGCCGGAGAGGGCGCCGAGATGGGCTGTTAAAACGATAAACGAGGACCTTCATGATGTTAAAAGGCGTTCTGAGCGGCTTAACGAGGGGTGGGGAGGAGACCTCGTCGAGACGTCTCGGATCGGGAATCGATTTCGTGGAGCGAGATGATTGTTCCCAATTCCATGGTGACAGATGTGAGGACCCGATGCAAGTGCGACTCACGACGCGGAATCAGCTCTTGTAGGAAAATGACTTCTTGAAATGCGTTTGGATGAATGTAGATGCCCTCATGAGCAAAAAAAAAAAAAGATTGAATATAGCTTCAAGTACCTACTGGGTGTCCAGGATAGTCCAACTACCTCCTGCGATTCTTCCTTCAAAATGGTCTGAAAAACAGGACTTCGTGGATGTCCTCACGGCAGTAGATGGATATGCTCCCACAAAAAATATATTCGGTATAACTACATGAACATCCTCATCCCTCCTCACGCTCCTAAAGCTCGATACTAGAGTTGCGATGGGAGGAAGAATGTTTACCCCTTGTTTTGATAAACATTCCTGTCTTGTCTTGTCATGTTGTCAGTGCATGCATAAATAGAGCAAAGCACCACTTGCTGGTGACTGTCTTCACCAACATTATTAAATAGCGTGGAAATCAAGGATTGAATTGGCACCCAGACCTCCCTCTTCCCTCCCCCCCCCCCCCCCACTCCTCCCTCCGTCTCTATCGTCCACGAGCGGACGGGGAAAGTTGCTTTTGCCTTGTAGTGGCTGACGCAGGACGATGATGGTGATGGATGGGGATCCGGGGGAGACCATATTGCAAGATAAAAATCCCTGCCTAAGTGAAACGAATGACAACGTTCTCCTCGGGGAGTTGGCGACGGCAACGCACCTACACGGTTTTTCGACGCTTTCAAAACTTCTTTACTTCAGCTTGATACACTCCAGAATCATGATGTTGACGGAGAAATAATGAAGTCAAAGCTAAAAAAAAAAAACAACGCAAAAGCCTTCGGACGTGTTGGCCTCGGGAGGGCAAAACAAATTTGCCATCCCGCGATGGCCTACTTTAGGTGAACGTTGACTTATTTCTTCTTTTTTTATGGAGCTGGTCTTCCTATTACTATGTGCATTATATTGGATATCCCGTTCGGCACAAAATCGTTGTTTCAACATTGGCAAAAAGTTGACATGTTGGGGGGGAGAGACTTAGTTGAAGCGAGGAATCGAAAGCAATGAAATTCTGGCTATTCGTTATAAACCGAATTTTCAGCATATATAGACTACTCATGGATTAGCGAAGTCGTTTGGAAGTTATTAGATGCAAATTCGTTTTTCACATTTGCCTTCATCATAGTCTCAGTGTTGCTTCAACATGGAGTTATCCACATCAACCTCAACTGAAAATAGGTTCAACAAATCGATGCAAGATGGTGCCTAACCGCCGATTTAGCAATTCTCACCCTGGTGCCCTGAAAAATACAGTCCCCTGCGTTTTTCATACAGTACCCGATCTTTTCCCACGTACAACTTAAGGGAAGGCTCAGGAATTCCTAGACAGACCCGTTGGCGGTAGCCCGGCAGAAGGAGACTCCAGATACTTCTGGCCAAGAAGGTTCGAGGAGACATGCCGAATCTTCCTACCTCACTACACGGCACATACACAGGGTGGGCAAAAAAAAAAGTTGTCATTTTGGGTGAGTCGTCAGTCTCATTGTAGGCTGCTGATTCTGATTGAATTAAGTAGGCTCATGGTGAGACAAAATTGGAGTTTTTATGCCGAATTTCAGCCTTCTGGTTTTAAAGTGATAGGAGCTGTAATTATTTTCTGAGGACCCACGACAAAATGTGCTGTCGAAAAAATCGATATGAACTTGAGGTCGAGATGGAAGGGAAGACCGAATTCATGACCTTTCATCCCTGCAGGGTGCTTTAGAGGAAGTTTGGGAGGCACCGCCTCAAAGGTTTGTTGACCGAGTCATTCATCTTCATTCTAGAAGAGCACATTGAGCACCTTATCAGTTGAAATGAATCTACCTAAACCAAATTGTGTGCTTTCGTTTTTGGCATTTATGAATTTTCTTTTCCTTTTGTTTGCTTGTTCGTTTTTGTCAGTTATGAGAAATTTAAAGTTGAAAGAAAAAACGAGCACTTACTTTTTTGGTGATGAAAAGTAAATTAAATGCCAATCTCACCGTTTTCGAAATTTTGATTTGAAACTCGGCTCACAAACCCTAATTGAGACACCCTATGTGCCCACCAAATTTCATTAGAATCGGCAGCCTACAATCAGATTGACAGCTCACCAAAAATGGCAGCTTGGTTTTATTTTTGCCCCACCCTGTATATTGACTTGATCTTAAGTGTCTCTCTGAGAATGACAGAGCCTCTGGGGGTGTGTCTGGCTCTTCTCCTGTGAGGAAGATAAATCGTAACTCCTTCGCTTGACGGAATGAGTTGCGTCATTCGAGTGCATAACTCGGATTCTGATCCAGAGAGGGAAGTGACAATCTCAGGACTCCACCGTGGGACGAAGGTACTCCCTAGAGCACTTGCAAGCTCTAATCGATATTAACGCGCTGAGACAAAGGAGGAGGTAATGTCCAAACGTTGACGATTCAACGCTGGCACAACGTAGTTTCAAAAAAAGGTAAAATCGAATCCACCTTTTACACGACGTTGTGGCAACATGGCCATGTTGAAAAATCAACCCTCGATCAACGTTGACTCATCGTTGTGCTGAATGGGACAGATCAGAATCATCTAATTGAGACGCAGACCACGCACGGAGACAAGAGTTGTTCTATATTTGCTCAATCTGTACACTCTTAGCTCTCTACAGGGCATGGCAAAAGTCGACAGCTACTCACAACCGCTAACTGGCCGGTCCTTGAGGATGGGGCAGCCGGGAGGGCCAGCTGGGTGGGCCAGTCGAGGGGTCGCAGACCGGTTGAGGGACGTTACTTGTTGACGCACTAAAAAACATTTGATGTGGAGTTTTGCGCCGAGATCTGCGGCAACACACTGTGTCTTGCTACGACCTGTAGAACCAAATAAGGGCGCACGCGATGGAGTACTTTCTTTTAGCGATGCCAGAGTTACGGTGAAATGGGAACTTTCGTTAAATTTTTTGCTCCAGATCCAGGGGCAAACCAGATTAGCCACTTAGCCACTCCGCGAATCTATCCTTAAAATCATCTCCAAAATGATAAACCTACTGCTCTCACTTCATACGCGAATAAAATCACAAGGGAAAAACTATCAATAAACGTATCGGACCGTTCGGCACGACGATGTTTCCGTGGATCCTGGGTCCTCGCCAGAAACGGATTCGTTTATGAGCCGGGCTTCGAGCGCGCTCGAGGCTCAAGGCTCTTTCCTGTTCATCCGAATCGATGAACTTGGGAAAGAGAATCGGTTCGCGATAGCATTTTGCCCGTTTGAGATTTCTTTGATGATGTCTCCTGCACGATATCAGAATCATGGAGTCATGGGGCGAAAGCGATCTTGCTTCTCGGCGTTCGAAATGAGATTTTTCTCTTTTTTTTTCTTCTCGAAATGAGACTATTTTCTTGGGGGAAAAAGGGAAAAGGTCTTAATATATAGGTTTAATATATTGTTTCCCCGCCCCCACACGAATAAATAATATGGAGCCATCGTCGGCCTTGCGTACGTTGTTCCGTCTGAAATGTGTCGATCGGCGAAAGCTTCTCTCTCCCCCGAGGTTAAAAAAAAAAGGCAGATCCATATCGGATCTGCCTTTTTCACATAATTAGGCTCCGTCGAGGCTCCGCGTCGCCGTCGACGCGGAGCCTCGACGGCGACTGCATCGCGTCTTTCCTCGCATTCGCACCCGTTGAAGCGATCCGCAGCGACGGGAGCTCCAAATCGTTTCGTGGATCTGCACTGGTTTTAAACGGCCGAAAATTTCCGGTCGGGTCTCGAAATTTGCTCGCCGCTCCGCTCCGTTCCATTCTGATGGGGGAAAAGCCCAGATGAATCCTTCGTTTCGTCGTTTCCCTTCGAATAGTCTCCCAAGCGCCTTCTTTGCAAAGAAATAAAGATTTAAAAAAAGCTTTGCCTCGGTTTAAAGATACCTAGGAAACCATGGCCAACCAGAACGAAGAAAGCTACAGAGGAAAGCTACTAAACATAGTACCTACGGTACTGTTTTTAGACTTAAGCAAATAGGTATTTGAAACAATTACCTCGCGGGGAGTTGCACAAGTCTCTGGTTTGGTTGCAAGATTCTCTGAGTTTCTTGACATTCCCTACCCTAAAGCTCCAATTGTGGGACGATGGCTCGGGTGAAAACTCAATCTTGCCGCGATGCCATCCCGCCCCACCGCGAGCGATGTCGCTTCCACGAGGCACGCACTGGGTGTGGCCGCCCCCGCCGCGGAGGCAGTGATGCTCACGCCTCCGGTCGGGATGGCTATGCAACGACTCGGTGGGAAACCCGAGCGGGTGCGGCGAAAGTTCCTGAGTTTAAGTTCATAACTCCCTATCAACTCTGAGTGGTTGAGGATGTCTCGTGGAGCGAGAAATGTCCAGTTCTTATCTTTTTGCTTGAAGAATCTCTACTCTTGTAACGACTTTGACCGTTTGAAACGTGGACGTCCCCCAATAAATTTCAGGAGAAATTCAACTTCATTAACTTTTGCATTTAATGTTAAAAGAAGTACAACAGTTGTACATCATAAATCTCTCCTCCTTTTATTGCCCTTGCTGTGGAATAGACTTCCCTCAATTTTCCGTGATGTGACTGCCTGAAGTCTCTCCTCATGCTACTCAAACAACTTTTTTTTTTTTTTTTTTTTTACGAACTTCACCTGTCAGACTGATTCCATAATCTCCATTAGCCTTTGCCATCAACCTGTCAATCTGCCTGTCTGAACTCAAGATCATAGTGCCCTTTTTAATCGTTATGTTTACTCTTTTTGACTTGTATATGTGTGGTTCTTTTTTGCTACTTTTTATTTTTATTTTACATTTATGATTTTTTTTCCCAAATTATTTTGACAAGTCCTTCAATGGACTCCATTCCTAACTTTCTCATAACTTTGGATTATCCTTTTGGGTAAGCTAAACCAAAAAGCCCTGAAAATCTGAATTCGTTAAATGTAATTTAAAATGAGTTAAATTGCATGATAGGCTCTATCTCTTGCATTCCAGCAGTCCATCCAGATTATGAAACAATTTTCTCGCTTCAACCTCTTGCAACCCTGCGTACAAAAGTCAATTATGGCGGCGCGCCCTATCACCAGAGGCCCAGTCAGCCCCACGAGATCCCCTCACGAGGTGTCGTAGACTGATTGCATTTGAGTAATCTAGGGCTTCTTGGAAATGGACGGAAGCAAGATTCCTCGTGACGATCGTCCTCAGGGAAGAAACCCTGGAAGGGAGGATCCCTTATCAGGTATGACTCTGCTTGAGCTGAAGCTTACTAAATAATTCTTGTCATATAATAATGATAGCCTAGACCTAGGCTATGCCTGTCATAGATGGTATCAACCTAATTGTAGGATTCGACTGAATGTCAGGCTTGAGTTTTGGCTGGAAGTTGTGGTTAGTTGACCTTTGCATCATAGTGGGCCCCTTTGAAATTGATACATCCCCAGGTCAAGTGTTCAAAGATAAAAGTCATTGTTTCGTGCCAGGATATACAAATGATATCATTAATTCCATACCTGGGGCCTGTTCCTCACCTCTGCTAATCTTAAATCTAAATCTAAATCTAAATCTAAAAGCAGTCTAAAAGCAAAAAGTCTATTCTTTGCCCTGACCTTTTAAACTAAGATTTAGATTTAAGTTTAGCAGAGGTGAGGAATGGGTCCCAGATCTCTGGATCGATTTCATTTGCCAAGCTAGCAGAGAAGTTTTCAGTGATCAATTAATGGAATGATAGGTTAGCCCTTGATATGGTGTGCCCTCTATGATCCTATTGACTCATTCTTTCAGATACATCACCTATCCGGAGAGAAGAGAATGCACTCTCCTTCCGGCAGTTCCTTGCAAGGGGTTCGGGAGGAGCTGGAGCCCGTCCAAAGAGGAGACAGAATCAAGAGCTGAACCCAATTGGTGATCCCCCTGAAAATATAGTCACTGAGAGGTTGCCTGATTTTGTGAAGGATTATATGAGTCCTAGTGGCAGTTTTGGACAAGAAGTATCTGAGAATGGAGACAGATGTGAACGGACCCATGGCTCAGCACCACCTGATCTGCGAGCTGGTTTGCCTGATTTCACCGCTGATGCAAGAATCCCTTGTGCATCTGAATTGGAGGCTCAGTCCTCTCCTTCTCTCAATGGTTTTCCCTGTGATTTGACACGTGTGGAAAACAGGCCTAGTCACATTGTGAATTCTCAGGGAATGCCAGCATCAGGACACTCGTCCAAACTGCCAGATTTTCTCCCAGACTCTGCCATTCCTAGTAGTTTCCCTAAGGACCATGAGACTAGACTCAGAGGCAGTGCTCATGGAAGTGCCCATGATATGTCGAATAGGTCTGCTGAGAGTGTAAATCTTCCATCTTCTGACCAACCTCCTCTCAGATTTCCTAACAGATGTAGTGCTTCAGTGAGTTGCCAGTCTCTTTGCTTTTAATGTTGCCTCCATGATATTTATTGCATGAACCTGTTATGTGTCTCATGATGTATATAGTACAGTTGAGAAACTTAAACTATTTGCTTTTGTTAGGATTCATCTACAGAACTAAGCATCAGTGGAACAAATGGGAATCCTCTGTTCGACGTGAACATTCTCAAGGAGCAGTTGGATGAAAATATTGTGAGATCATGTCTTTTTTTTGCAATTGTCAAACTTTCAATTTTTATCTTTGGTGACCAACAGATAATATTATTACTGTTATTTTTAGATGAGGAGGATTAGAGCTGAAAGAGAAGTTCTGCATCTGCAGCAGAAGTTGAGTTCTGTTGAAGTGAGTTTTTGCATATCTTCTGTGGGCAAATACTGTGAAGACCTATTTGTTTTGATATATTATTTTTATAATCATGATGCCATTTTCACAGGCTGAAAAGTTTGTAATTTCAAGCTGGTTGGTTGGTTTTTTAAATCAGAAGTTAGTAAATTCAATACATTCGTGAGTATTTGTTTCCTCTTGCCTAACCCTCACGAAAAAGTGAACTTTTTATCCTGTGGAACCTGTAAGGCACTTGTACACATACTGCTACATGGCTGCATATTTTCTCTGTTCATTTGGAATCTTAAAGAAAACCATGATCTTCATGTTCAATTTATTCCTAGGAGCAACTGAAGATCCTGTCAGAGGAGAATGCAATGCTCAGAAGAAGGAACCTCAACCCACTTGCATCAGGAACAATAGAAAATACTGTAGCACAAATTTACCAAGTTGCAGACAATGCAGAGCATCACCTCAGGTATTACCAATATGCTCTTTGACTCTTGTGTTATTTTGTGCGAGGTTGTAGGACTTTGTTAAAAAGAGTAGTGCTTGGGCAAAAGTTTTTCAGCATTGATTCTAGCATGTTAGGCATATATGGAAACTTTAGACATTGGTATGTTATTGCAAAGTGCTTGTAAAGCTTTTCTCTTGTCATACTGATCTTGACTCTGCCATGGATCTATATTTACATTCATCAATCGGCAATTCAGCAATCATCCTGCTTTTCTGCTGTATGACTGATTGTTAAAGTTTTTATCAGTTCTTGTTTCTCACCAGCATCAGTCAATTATTAAGTTGTGTGGAAGCATAATCAACTTGGGTAACTTAGGTGATAACTTGGACCTGGTGCCTAGGGCTCAAGAGGTTCTTGTTATTAAATGCCCAAAGTATGAATAGGTCATAGTAGATGACTGGCAGCAATGTCCAAATTTGACACTAATAGAGGTACCAATAGGGGGTGCATAACTTTTTAGTTAATTTCTCAGTATCGTGTTAAAAATGTATTTAAGGTATTTTTACATAGAGTTCCTTAGTTCAGAAGGGAGCTTTTACTGTCGAAATATTGTAAAGTTCATATGTTGAGAAAGTATCCACTCCAACTTGTTTAGGACTACCTCTCTAAAACAGTTCAACCCTTACAGGCCTGGTAGGACTTCTGAGTCGTATTGTATATACAGAAATGCTTGGCCTCGAGGCCTGGTGGGGCTTCTGAGTCCTATTGACCTTTTCCTGTATTTGTATTTTTATGGTCAATGATGTTTCATTGTGGACACATGGATGAGGACATTTGTTTTTACTTCAATTATATTTTAAAATTCATATCTTAAAGGGTTATGTAGAAATGATCTTTCAGTCTGTCTGCTTCCAGAGGGTTGGGTGACCCCAGAGTGCCAGTTTGGTCTGGAATCACTCTGGGAATTAATTAGTCCCAACTTAAGAGTAAGACTGGAGCTGAACTCAAACTTGGACCAAAATCCAAGTTCTAACCATTGTTTAGAACCAACAATAACATTTTGAGCAAAGGTGAAATCAAGGTCTGATCAGTTTCATTTATCAGGGGTGTAGATGCATTTATTCCCAATTGCTGCTGAGGGGCAAATTCATTATAATCATTGCTTCTACATAATGCAACCTAGGGAACAACATGGCATCATTCAAAAATCCACATCAGACTTTTGGTTACCATGCTCAAAGGGAGAACTGCAGAGATGGGGTTTAAGGTTCAATTGTCTTAAGAATCTCTTCAATTGTTATGGTGGGTTATCTGAGTTTGAAATAAGAAGCAGAAAATGAATTTTTCTGGGGAAGTAAACTAAATATTATGATTACACTGCACTCTGGGTGTCTGAATATTTGGCTAATTGGAGATTTGAATAGAGTTTTTATATTGATTTCTGAAAATCCTACATGTTATTAAAACCAGAACCCACCAGGTTCAGGTAATTCCTCTAGCAACTAGTTATGAAGGTGTTGAAAATGTCAGCATCTGCCTGAGAGAGTGTATAATGAACCAGTTAGCTGTATGGAGCAGCTTCTGAACTGAAGTATTAGGCAGCTTGAAATGTGAAATTATGAAGTCTGTCAAACTTTGGTGTGTTACTGATTGAGTTACAGATATAGGGATAGAAAGTATCTTCTAGAATTGTGTACAATTCCTCATTTCTTTGTTTCATTCAGTTGAGGAACAGTTTTAGAAATGTACCATGTTGCACCCTTTTTAATATAACCATGAATCTGTGCTAACTAGCCCAAACTTCTTTTCTCAGGCAACTTCTGTCTGGTGTGGATTCTTTGCGGTTGATAACTTCAGCTCTGGATGCCATAGAGACATCCACCAATCAACATGTCTTACACAGTGAAGAAGGTGCTTCTGGAGGAGGCACTGCTTGATTGCTTCCCTCAATATTATGAGATCCATTCACCATAGAGTTGTCTCCCTCTCTTGAAAAGATCTTATGATCTTTTCCCATGTCTGAGTAGCCTGAAAGACACTTGAGGTAAACCCTTGGATCTTATCTCATTTCTTCACCCTGGTTCCTGTAGGATGGTGTTGGCTCCTTGACTTCTTATATGTACTATTTATTTGTTTGCTTCTGTCATGTAAGACTTGCCAAGCAGAGATTTAGAGTGTTTAGACCCATTTTGCAAGTATAATATCTCTCACAGGGGATTGGATCACCCTCTACTAAGGGATGTAGTGTGGAATTATTGTACACAGTCTGCTACAAAAGTCAAAATGAAAATGTTGAATGAGAATTAAAGTAGGGTTGCAACATGTTTTACTGGTGTCAGAGATTGGCTAATGTTTGTGATTTTGATTTGCATCCTTGATTGAAAATCAGTGTCCAGTTGATATGCAATATTTTTGCTATTATTTACTCCCTTTTCTCACATAAATTGGGGAGCTGATAAGAGCAGTTGGGAGAGGAGATACAATGTTGACATAGGGCTAGGCCTAGATCTGTTGAGTATTTATGTAGTGCACAGCTCAATGGTGGCATGAATTCTCAGTCCTGCATCGACTTCAGGATACTTCCATACTGCTTCCTTTATGTCTAGACCTATGGTAAAGAGCAAGCAAGGGAATGAGTTCAAGCACAAGCATTGGTCCTCTCTTTGTGTTTCTCTACATCTATTGATCATAATACTTTCCATGTGCCTACAATGTATCTAGCTGAGATATGCTGGTGTAATGATTGTGAGATGTTACAAACAGGGCTCCTCAAGATGTTGGGCCTCATCAAAACGTAGCATCATTCATTCATTTACTCATTCAATTTGCCAGCAGAAGGGCTTCAAGAGTATGTATTGGTCCATGGACCTCCTCCATTTTGCACCATGCTTGCCCCAGACCCCTCCCATCTTTGTGGTGTCATTGTCTCCATTGGAATCACATATCTGCACCTATATGCTGACATGTGAAGTCCTGTTTCCCTCATGGTGGAGGAACTGTGATTCCCTTGGGAAGAGCTGAACCTGATCCATTTTTTGATCAGGAGCCCAAAATATTGTGTGCACTTTAATCTTGAGTGGGAGTAAACACTTTTGGAGCAGTTGGAGTGGGAGTCTGAATTTCTCAAATTTTCTGGGACTGTAACCTATAAGTGACAACTTATTTAAAAAGTAATAATGGATGATACAATGTGTAATAGGGAGGTAACCCTTATGTACAAGAACATGCATGCATGCAACAGAGTCCAATTGGTTGGAAGGGAACACTCAAGAAATTCTATTTCCACTTTTGCTTCTCTGGAATGTTCTTATTCCCACCCCATGTGTTATATGCACAGATGTATGGCTGCACTGGATGATGATGCAAGGATGAAGGGAGGGAGCTTTAGTGTGCCTGGTGGGCATTCCACATAGCCTGATGGGTTGAGGTGTGGGTGTAATGTATTATACCCTAGCTGCTTTTTGGGATCCATGGCAGGCCTGCCCACAATACATAGCTTATAATAACCAGTTAAATTATTAGGATTTAATAACATTTGTTATCAGTTTTCCATCAGCAGAATATCAGCATACACTGAAATCATTGCAGCCCTACATAAAAGAACTTTCTCATGTTTCAGCTTACTATAATATTCCAGTCATTATTGGCAAGCTGTTATGAATCAAGCTTCTGTTGAAGGACCACCAGTCATCAATTCCACTGCAAAATTAGCCTTGGTACTAGCCTTGGTGAACCAGTACTAACTTGAAGACATGTGGAAGTGGATGGTAATGACTCAATTTTTTATTTTAAAAAGCCACTGCTAATTTTTTATTTTTCACCACATCTCTTTGAAAGATATCACTACAAGTGCAGCCTGCAGCACAAATTTTTATTCTAACCTATTCTGGCTCTAGCACTCATTTGAAGAGAGTGAAAATTCTTCCCATGATGCACATGAATGTCACCATGAGTTCTTTGCAGGCCTGCTCTGCTCTGAAACATTTTAGCCTCAGACAATTCTGGGAGTGCTTCATGGTGATGGTGATATGATTGCATGAGAGAGTGTAAAAGTATGTGAAAGCTTGCCATTAAATGAAAGGTTGCAAAAAATGTGAATAGTATGAAGTAACAATATTTTCAGGTTTTCTTTGAAAGGAGGTGAAACATTGGCATAATTTATTTTGAAATGACATGTACATGCATTCAGTCACTTTTGATGTCTTTTTTGACCAATGCCATCTGCTTTTTCTTCAAATGTATCTCCTGCAAATAGTAGTTGAGCAACTCAAATCTTTTCATCAACAAAGACCAGGTACCAGAAGATGCCAAACTCAGCACCATAGATGTCAGGGTTAAATGGCATTTCAGAGACCCTCTGAAGTTTGAATTTCTTGGTGTCCAGAACAAAATCTTGCCAAGGCTCCTAAGTTTCTTAAACTAATCTGATGTAAAACAGGAGGGCATGATGCATGGAAAAAATTCAAGAGAATGTAGGTACAGTTGATGAGCACAATGCTATGATTCCATGAGCAAGACCATTCAAATTCTGCCTTCCTTAGTTGTAAGGACTTATTTGGTGTTATGGGTGGAAGGAATACAAGAAAAAAGTCTGGGTGCAGGTAGGAATTATGGTTTTAGCATATATACATATATATATATATTGGGGTGCTTTACTGCCTTCCACTACCCATTGTGTGTGACAAAAATCAAGTAGCATTAGCTGCGTGAATTTTTTAAGGCCACTGGTATTTTATCCACATTTTCTTGCATTTTTATTCCAATTATCTGAACCTATGAAAGGTGAGAGTCATGTCTTTCCCTTGCTTTTCGTTTGTTTGGCAGGGTATACCATAATTGAGAATCTCAACTTATTCTGCAATAGTGCAAGCAGGTTTGTGCACTTCATGTTTTTCGAAAAGTGAATTTTTTAGGCAGATTGTGTAATTTTGCTATGAGGAGTATTTCTCCAGGACTCTCATTTATAGGCCTAGAGGAATCAACATCTCCTCTGACTGGCATTTCTTGTTTGGCCTATTTTGTACTTGCTCCTGATGTTTGCCAATTTTGAACTGACTTTAAGTGATCTGTATGATTCATGCTAGTGAGAAACTGAGAATGAAAAAAAAAAATTTGAGGAATAAAGTGGCTTCATGTTTGTCATCTAGTATCAGCCTCACTCAACAGACTTCTTTGTGACTCATGGCTCTTGGCCTCTCTAGAGATGGCTTGAGGCTTCACTTCTCAGCAAGAGTTATTAACAATTGGCTAACTCTTTTTTAGTGGGCCTCCTTTCCTGGAAGGAAAGAGACCACTTGTAGTCCCGCCCTGTCCGTCCATGTATCACGCTTTGGTTGTCCAATGATAATGTCAGTTCCCTACCAACCTTTGTGGTGGATGGATCCAACCATGCACAGCTCTCCATCCTCCCATCATCATTTCATGGGCACCGTTAGTCTATTTTTACCAAATATGAATGAAAAATGAGGTTTTTGATGGTCAAAGACCAGAAAGAGATATAATTTTGTTTGATTAGGTGACATAATGAGGGTTTCCTTAACTGAAAGGAGGCACACTACTTGTCTGGGCTTGCCGAACTTGTTTATTTTCCACACCTCCAGCTCCAGATGGTCTTTTAACATTTGCTCCAACCACCACCAAAGGCCAGACATAACAATGTCATATTTTTCTGGTCAACACCATGTATGTGCTTTGAAAGTCCTCTGCTCAAAGTTCATATTTGCTGTAGCACTTTTACTTCCATTTTGCAAACTTCTTACATCTGGTAAGCCAAGAGAGCCATGATTAATTTGTTTACATCCTGTAGTTTTTAAGATAGAACAATACAAGTTGCCTTTGTCTGGCTCAACTTGACTTACTCTGGGATCAAAGTATCAGTATGTATTATACAATATGTATGGGTTGGGAAATGAGTTATTAGGACGTTTCATTTGCATTTGTTGAAGTATACATATTTTAGAGAGTTTTTTATTATTATTATGAGAAGCAAGTTAACAGTTCAGTCTAAGGATATGGTCACACAGTCACATGGAGCAAGTCACACATATGGTTAGGTAGGTGTCAGTATCTACCTCAGGTCTTTCCCCATGTTTGTTAGAAACTTACAGATATTGATGTAATTATTCTCCATAGTGGGACCTTGTAAACCAAAATTTATGCTATCAGGTCTATATATGAGATCATAAAAGGTTGACCCATATGGTGTTTCCTGGGGAAGGGACTTGGTTAGCTTGGAGAGTGAATCTGGAGATACTGTTGCTCTTCATGATGCAGCATCTCATGAAGACTCATGAAACTATTATTTTGGACAGTTTCTTTTTTTTGGCATATGCGGCTCATGTTTCTCTGTACATCAAACAGGTATATAAGTACTATTGCCTCAGAACAATGTTTGGCCGTAGCCGAGATAAAAAGCCACCTCCTAGGCCGAGTAGGGCTCCAGTTGCTGCACCACAAAAACCAAGAGCCCATAATCTTGGTATCTTTGGACCAGTGGACATGGATGATGAAGCTGATGATGATTTGGAAGCTGAATTGATGTCTATTGTTGGTGGAGGTCAAGCGACACGCCCAAGCACAAAACCCAGTAGTAAGTGGTTCATTATTGGAGTCTCCATAACCAGAGACCGGGAGGGGGCACAATTCTGAATGAATTGCATTGTGATGGATAAACCCAGGATGATGAAGTGAGTGAGTTGTTATGTTTAGTTAATGGTTAGAACATTATCTAGCCTCTGCAGGCTAAATCAATCATTCAATCATTTTTAAGTATGAATGAAAGCCTGATTCTGTGGGAGTATGTCTTGTATTATTCTGTCAGTTCCAATTGTTTATTCAGGGCTCATGATGAACTCATTATTTCATACCTGCTTGAAAATCTTGGAGAGGCTTTCATAGTATTCATTCTTGGAACCAGATTCCATGTAGTGAAGGAAAAATGCTACTACTCTCTCTGCAAATGCAGCTGAAAGGAGAGCCATTTGATAGTACTTTCTCAAGCCAATAAGATTCTCGTGTAGTTGCACCTCCCTGTTGTGTTTATCAATGTTCACAAGGGGGTCAACTTCAAGCAGAAAATCGAGGACTTCATTTGTGCCTGGTTGATGATTGGCGAGAAATTCTACTACCTGACTATGCTTGCGATCAATATGGTTCAGCTTTTTGAGACGTTGCAAAATCCTCTGGTGTATGTCACCTCTGAAGGGATATCGTAGTTCCAAGAACAGGGGATAATAGAATCGCCCTGTGGCTTCAGGATAGTACTGGATGATGAACTGATTGAAAACTCTATCCCTGAGTTTCTTGGATTCCTCCAAAACTGCCATGATGGCTTTGTTTTTCTGGTTTTCGCTTCTGTCTACATTGATAAATGAGTAGATAAGCTCTATTCGAAGACGGTAGAGTGTTGCCAAGAATTTTCCCATACTTGTACTATCAGGAATTGCTTTGAGGTACTCTTCAGCTTTCCTGTACTCCTTGGTGGTCTTGACATACTCATATGTTGATTGTGTTCCAAGTAGCAGTATTGCTCCCATCATTGTTTGTGCTATCTGGAGAGGCATATGAGGTGCTATCCTGGAGTAAAGCTTCAGGAACTCACTTCCTCCTTTCTCATGCAACAGCTTGTTGTAATAAGTGGGGCACTCTATTTCTCTTGCAATCAATGATGTACCCAGTTGGTCTTGAACTTGGAATCGGCAAAGTAGTGCCTGTGGAGATGTATCAGAGCATGAAACTCAATCCATAGAACTTGAAGACTCTTCAAAGCTGTTTTTTCTCAAGTAAATGTATTTTGCAAGAAGTCATATCTGGAATGTGAATGACTTATCTCATATTTGAAGATTGAAATAATCCCTGATCTAGGTACTGGTGCTCTTGTTAGTAGTCATGAATTTGCTATTTAAAAAAAGTACAGTGGAACCTCGCTTAACAAGCATAATTTGTTCCCGAATCTTACTCGTAATGCGAATCACTCGTTATGGGAGGTGCTCGTAAAGCGAGGTTTGACTGTATATGAATATACAAACAGAGTGATTCGCTTAACGAGTGTTTCGCATTACGAGTAAGATTTGGGAACAAATTATGCTCGTTAAGCGAGGTTCCACTGTATGTCAGTTTTTGTGTCCATACTTTTCTCACATTCAGAATACATAATTATAAAAATATGAATTTGGACTGTTGTGTTTAGTCTGTCTTTTATGTGGATTAAAATCATACCTGAATTACAACTTCCTGTTTAAGGTCTTGGCTATATCTCTTTGGTTTTGTTTGGATGACATTGAGAAGCATTTGATACTGGGAGTCAGCTTCTTTCCAGTTCCCCAAAGTGTATTGTACCCATGCACAATCTGCACCAGTTTCCAGCCAGCTATCCTCATCAACTGTAGTACTTGCATTTCTGAACTTTGTAACCAGGAGTGTCTGTAACTCTTGCTGATAATCTCTGATGACTCTAGATGCACATCCTCCACACCAGCTAGGGGTGTCTGGTATCTCTTTCATGCATTTGCCTTCTGGATCAATCTTCATTGCCCGTTTCCAATCAGAAGTGCATTGAACCAGATCATTTTTCGCTCTTAAGAAGTACATCCCTCGCCAGCAATATGCTTTAACTGTTGAGATTTCTGATGGGGAGGACCAGATGAGAGAGGCAAAGTCTTGAATTGGATTGTACTGTGGGTTCAGAAGGCTCTTGCATCTGATGAGATCATAGTTTGCTGTGGAAGAGGTTGAACCTTGTAAAACTGCTTTGGTGTAGTATTCCACAGCAGCCTGAAGATCGTTCTTAAAGAACTCATTGAGAAGCCCGAGATGATGGCATGTAAAAGAGTCACTCCAGTCAACATTGTATGCTGCTTGCAGGCACTTCAATGCCATCCCCCAGTCATTCATTTCACCAGGGAGGAGTAGAAATCCTCTGCCACACACCTTTAATGTCTCAAGGCATTGCTGCTGGGAACTCTGCAATGTTTCAAAAGCCTTCTTCAACATTTTTTGTGCTTGTTTGTGATACTCCTCTACTTGGAAGTCCACCTCATTGGTGGTATGGTCTTCTGCTGTGGATTGATCAAGTTCTAGAATTACACCAGCTGAAGAGGATCTGTTTCCCTTGCAGCAGAACCTTGCCATGATTATGGCTACTTCTCCAGTCACTGCCAACACAAGTGGGTCCTCAGAACCTCCTGGTAAGGTTTTTGCTTCCTTCATGTGTCCCATCTGTGATTCAAGATCTGAAGTTTCTTTGGCAATCTTTTGTATAGTGAGAGTTACCCAAAGATGATATTGGTAGCTGTTCTGATCATGGTTAATAGCAGAATGGAAGGCTGTTCTTGCCTGCATATAGTTTTCTAGCATGAAGTGAGCAAAGCCTTGTATCATATGCAGGGCTGCTTTGTCCAACTCAGTGAGATTGTTCAATGGTATGAGTGCATCAACACTTGCCTGGAGTGTGGCTTTTGGATAGGCAGGATCTGATTGGTAGTAAATATGAAGAACATTGCTCTGAGCAACATGAAGAATGGCTTGCTGCCTCAAATTCTGGGTGGAATTTCTGCAATCCTGCTGAATTTGCATGAAAGTCACCAGTGCATCCTCAGCACTCAACTTGTATTTGTATGCAAGATATCCACGAAGAAGTTTGGCTGCATTCACTGGCCGCCACCATTCTTTAGCAGATTGCTCTTCAATTATCTTGAGTCTGTTGATGATTTTGTCTACATTTATCCTCTTTGGTTCTGACTTCAGCCATGTGAAATGGCATTCAGTGTTCTGGATGGCAGAATGAAGGCTTCTGCATAGGACCAAATGCTGGTGACTCATTGTCCCACGTTTTGCTCACTTCTATCAGTAATCAGTCATGATAGTTGCAACATGAGCATCTTAGGATTGTTGCTCTTGTTCACTAATCCATGAGTGAGAAATCTCAAATGAGAGGAATGAAGATGAAAATGTATTTGAGCTTGTTAGAGAGTAGTGAGGATTCTGCAGAATAGTTTCAGGTGTTGCTAAGAAATTATTGCCATTGTTTTGAAGGCATATATGGAGGAAATCCTCTTTTGTCTGAAAAGTTTTTTTTCGAAAATAGACATGATTTCATCACTTCTAGTTGGTCATTTTATAATTCAAAATGATTGCCCATTGCATATTTCCCTTCTCCTCTGAACTTCATTACTTCATCTTGCAGGTATTGAGGAGCTGATTTTCCTCACATCTCACCTATAGAAAGTCTTGTCACTTTTCAATTAGGGTTGGTGAGACTAATTCCAGCACTGCTATAAAGTCTGCTCCCATGTTATACAATTCACCATAATAAGAATTCTGGACATTCCTTTATCATCCAAATTATACCAATGTCCAGTCTCAAAATGTGAATGGACAGTATGTGAAATTTCCTCTTGAATAGCATAAATCCCCAAAAAATTAATTTCAAAACAGAGGTGAGGAGGCTTAAAAGGGGCCAGAATTTGTATTGCCTACCTTACTTCAGGAAAGGCAGCATCGGTAGTACTTTAATCCTTTTGACAGCTCAATTTAGAGCTTCTGGGCAGTCTCCATTGAAAATGAAAAAGAGGAATATGTTAACTGGTTCTTCATGCTACTCACCAGAGAACTAATATATAAAACATGAGGTACATATGTGAGGAAAGTACAAATGAGTCCTGTTAAGTCTCCAGTTTGGCATGAAGAAGGTGGGCTATTGGCACCATGTGATGCAGCAATCAGGTGTGGCAGATCCATTTCATCATTAGATCACAAAGATCTACTCATAAAGTGCACCTGATGAAAAATGCTGAGAATGATTTTTTTGTCACAGGAAAAGTACAGGGTAGTGAACTTCATTGCAGAATGCAGGAAGTGTATTGTAGAGTTCAAACAGGGCCAGAATGTGAAACATGCAGGTACACATGTGCTCACTAAGTCTAAGAGTAAGACTGTGCAAGTGTAATATGGTGTCCATTAAGAACTTTCTTATATAATGTCATGCTCCATGCCATTTTATTTGTGGGTATTGTATAACTATTCTCTTGACTCTTTTCTAGTCGCTATTCCTGCAGCAGAATTGGATGCGATGGTTGCTGCAAGCATGAAGGATGTTGATCCCTCTGATGAAGAGGATGATGGACCTGTTGATCCAGAACTTCTTGTAAGTTTAGCATGGTGAACAGGATTGTATGACTTGCTACATGCTATTTCTGACGTATGCTGGTGTACTGGATGATGTACAGGATGAATTAGCTGCTCTGACTTCTGAGGCAGATGTTCCCCAGACCCCAGATTCAACAGTTGGTGACACCATGACAAATGTGGCTGGAGAATACCAACTGAACCTTCTCAAGGACAGATTTAAGAATTATGAAGCTGCTGAGAGTAATGCAAAGAATACTGGGGATGTGAGCAAAGCAAGAAGGTGGGTTATGCTCTCAGAATCATTAAGCATCACCTCACATTCTAAATTTTCTCCATGATGGTTTTCTGGTGCTGTGTTTCACTGACTGACCATCAGCTAGTTTACTTACTTTTGCCATTTAATTTTCCATACTGCAGGGCAATAGTATCATGCTAGAATTATGTCTTGAACAGGAAAAATATTTGCTTTGTTGAAGATGTGCAAGGGGGAAACAGACACTACAGGACTTGATCAAGAAAGCCCAAGCAGGGCATGTGATAAATGAAGATGACATTCCGCCTCAAATTTCATTGACCACAAGACCACCTGCTGCTGCTACACAGCACACTCCTGACACTGGTGAGAGCTCCAAAACACAAGACAGTCATGATTGATTGCTCCTTTTATGCTTTGTTATTATGATATAATCACAAATAATGTCTACCTCTTTTGCTATGACTTGTTTGAATGTGTTGTACATGATACACAAAGCATGATGATAGACTTGGTCTGTTTCTCACCTATAAATGCAAATTTAAATGTAAATGCAGTCAAATACAGAACAGAATCTCATATTTCTCATCCTCATGTTATCATTATTCTCAATACCGCTTTTCTGTTGCTTTGGATGTCCCATCCTCAGCTCCAGAAGGAAGGATGGCAGTGAAAGCAAAGGATGGAAGAGAAGGAGATGCTGAGCATCAGGTACCAATGAGAGCAGCGCCACCTCCTCCTCCCCCCAGGAAGAAGCCTGCACTACCACCTCAGCAGACTATGGCTGTATCATCTGATGCTGCTCCCTCACAACACAGCATTCAGAGTCAACCTCAGATGCTAATTGCCCCATCACAATCCTCAACACTGTCTGAACCACCTGCAGCAGAGGTTCTTCTTCCTGAAGTAAACAAAGAGATGCTTAGTCTTCTACTCAAAAGGAAAGAAGAGTACAAGGCAGCAGCTATCAGAGCAAAGAAAAATGGCGACAATGAAACTGCTGTTCAAATGATGAGAATCATGAAGGTATCTCAACATTCAGTGATTAGCAGGAAAGCAGAAGAGCAGTGCATGAGGTAAAATTGCCCTTTGTTGCAGCAATTTGATTTTGTCATGGCGACTGCAAAGGAGGGGAAGGAAGTTGACCTGTCAGACATGCCTGGGCCCCCTCCAGAGATAAAACCAATCCAGAGAGAATCTCCAGCTATAAGTAAACCAGCCAAAGCTGGTTTACCCCCACATGAACCACAAGCTCCCTCAATTGCAATTAATCCCCCAACATCATCTGAGTCCTCTTCTAAGGACCCTGTTAATTGTGATGATGGTAAGTAAGACTTTTTCATTTTTGTCCTATGCTCCTCTTCTGTATATTGATGCAGCCTAGAAAAAGGAAAAAGATCATGGGTACGAAAAGGCACATTTCCATCTAGGAATATAACAAAGGTTATCTTTAACAGAAAGTCATGCATAGCCTTTTCATTGCTATGCTTACATATATACAAGACAATTATGCACTGTGCTTAGCTTTTTTATTTATATTATATGGTTGAAACTCTACTGAATTATTCTACTACCTTTTGGGGTGCTTTAAACTGTTACAAAGCCCCAAATTTAGCATTATCTATGGACCTAATTTTATGGAATATCTGAATCATAATATGTGAAAATCTGTCTATTAAAAAAAAAATACCAACACAGAGTATTGTGATTACTTCCAAACTTAACAATTAAAATATTAGCAGCAGGAGCATCCCTCTGTGTTCCTTAGGAAATCAGGGAAGCCAAGAGTCACAGGTATTCACTGGTCCTCCTGCCCCCAAGACTGTCTTGGAAGCCCTTGAGCAACGCCTGCAGAAGTATTCAGAAGTTGGAGAAGCAGCAAAGAAAGAAGGAGATTTAAGGAAAGCTCGACGAATGGGAAGGATTGCAAAGCAGTATGAAGATGCCATTCGTCTCCACAAGGCTGGGAAACCCATTCCATATGATGAACTGCCTACTCCACCAGGTATAGTGATTTTAAGAGAATGCTAGACTTTTTCCATTAGGCCAGCCCTTCACAGGTTGCTGAGAGCCTGGTTGGAGGCAAAACTCTGCCCAGTGCATCTTCTGTACAAAAGAGTATTTCTATTCTGGGCAAGCAGGATCAGTGGCATATATATACACAACTGCATGTGATTGCTTGCTGATATGTGGATCCTTTTGGGTACCTATTGATCAAAATTCCATTGCTGATATATGTGTGTTCGATTGCTCTTGATATATGTTTCATAGTTACATTTTACTTGGGAAATATGGTCCTTTTGGATTTTCTTTTGACTGTCTCGCCAGAGGGAGTAATAGAAGTTATGCATGGCCATGAAATATCCTTTAGTGGTTTGTCTGTCATGAGCTATACAAGTGACAATCCTGGTGTTTTTTTAATCATTTATGGTATCAAGCAATTTGATACTGGAGTATTGATAAAATTGTGATATCTTACATTTTATATCTGTGTGACATGTCTGGTTGGCATTTCTCAGGTTTTGCTGATATTCCCCGTGAGGGAGTTGAACCTGGTTCAGCTGCTACAAGTGTTCCTGGAGAAACAGGAACAGGATCAAATGCCTCAGCATATATCTCTTCTGGACCAGAAGAAACTTTGGAAGTTACAAGTGAGTCTTTCAAGACGAGTCCAAAGCCAAGTCCAAAACCAAGTCCTAAACCAAGTCCTCGAGGTTCACCTCAACCTGCAGTGAGAGTTTCTGCACCTTCAAAACCTCCTCAACCTCCTCCAAAGCAGAATGGTGAGTTTTCAGATCATTCCATCTATGAGAATGTTGCCAGAGATTGCCACCAAGGAGTCTTGAGCAATTTTTTGTTTGTCAAAGCAGTTCGGAAGACTGCCTCTTCGATGCAGGAGAAGCAGTTGGCTCTTGTAACAATGAGGCAACAGCAGTTCAAGCAAGCTGCATTAGATGCTAAGCGAAGAGGAGATATTGCTCAAGCCAAGGAGTACCTTCGCATCTCCAAAGGCTTTGACCCACTCATTGATGCCTCTGAATCTGGCCTTCCAGTGGACATCGCAAGTGTGAGGCTGCCTTACTGGTTTATACTGTTTGAGTTTCAGAGGTTGTGGGATTGAATCAGAACATTTGCAGGATGTTTCAACTTCTTAGTATAGGAATATGTATTTACTTGTCCCTCCTGTAAAGTAAGTAAGCTTGTCAAACCAGACCATTTTTGCTCAGTCCAAATAAAAATTTAAGGCTAGGGATGGCATGAAAGAGGAAGGTGAGGGACAATGAGTGAAGGATATTTTTATGGCTTGTTACTGCTGACACCCTAGAAGTCTGTCAGTAGCTACTGGTTCTATAAGGCATGTTCATGAATCAAAGACCTGTTCTTGTGTCACCTTGGTTGTAGAAGTGAGGTCCTATATCTGGTATGCAGCTGTTCCAGGTCATTTTTGCTGGTTTCTCTCTGCAAGTCATTCTGACTCATAGGCCTTTGGTTCCAAATCTCTCTTCTGCATGTTGCCTAAATTGTCTCACAGCTCCACACTTGAACAATAAACAAAAAAATGTGGCAAACTCGCATTCAGTTGCCCTTATCCACATAGACAGGCTCAGTGATTACATTTTTTTTTTAGCATAAAAACCATTGTACATGAATAAGCCTACTTGCTTACTACATACTACCTTTTTATTCTTAAAAAAGTGTTTTTATAGTTTTCAGGTGAAAGTATGATAGAATTGAATAGATCATCATTTGCTATGCCCTCCTAATACATAAGAATCACTTGACTTGGGATGGCTTAACTCCAAAAGTCATTGGGAACCTGAAGTTCAAGCCTTCGGTCTTTTTAATCTTTTAATTAAATGTTATATTCCCTGTCAAATTAAAAACTTCACCTTACAGAAATATTTCATTGTCTAGATATTGTATGCATCTAATACTATCCTCTATGTGCAAGTTTCCCAACCACATTTAGACCAAATTTATATTTGAAATGCAGTTATGACAGTATTATATATAGGGGAAGGAGGGGCACAAAATCAGTAAATTCTTTTGATCCATATAAATGCTTACAATTATTTTATAGGAGTATTTCCCATGCATGTGGGAAGAAATAATCTCTGAATCTTCTATGTACTTCTCTGTGAACTATTCCAGCTGCTAACATAAGTATATAATGCTGATTTCACAGAAATGGGTGCAGTACATCTGCTCTCTCAGCTTAACCAGAATTGGTTTGCCCATAGATCATTCACCATTCACCATTTTCCCATTAGCAATAACATTTGATTTTCATCAAAAAGAGAGCCTTGAGTACTCCTGTGGAACCAGTAACCATGCTAAAAATCAGTGATTAACTTATGATAGTGTAGAAGAAAACCTGGAACAGACACACAACCAACCCAAATAATATTTTACCCCTATATTTTTGCAAAGTGGGGTGGTTATCATTTATTGGTGAGACAGAAATAAAAACCTCTGTTATCTCGAGTCTGTTTCACCCAAGTCCACCTCACTCCAACAAATTCTCTGTTGTGTTTAATGGTTCCTGTACAATTTGATTGAGGGATTCTTTTTTTTATTATTAAATCTGGAGCTTAGGAATGATGCCCCAGATTATCATATGAAAAGTTCAGTGCCCTCATATATTTCTAGGAAGAGTTGACCCAGGACACTAGATAATGGGTACTGCACATTAGAGAGAGGTACAGTTGTAATTTCTGCTTCCCTTCTTGTCCACACTTGCAGCCAGGAATCCCATCCCACTCCCATTGCAAAAAGCTCCCATTCTCGCTACTCCCATAAAGATAAAGGCAGATGGACCCATGGGATCCCTATAGGATCTGCAAGAATGGGAGTCCCTTGCCTTCTATACTATGCAGCCCCAGCCAATGCTTTCACAAGAAAGGTTAGAAAACCAAAAGGTTTTTGAACAGGCACACCAATAGGCATACTTGCTCTCTAGTATATACAGTGCTTTGCTTTCTAGTATATATATCTTGAACCTGACTTTTTTTTAAACTTTGCTTAGACATACCCCTGCAATATGGGTGTCTCATGCATGGGTGTCTGAGTTGTGTGACACTCTAGCCCTGTCTGTTATTGACCTTATTCTCTCCTTAGCATACCTGTTTTTGGGAATTGCAACTCCAAGTCATGAAATTCCATTGCATAGTCAAGCTTGGATTTTTCTGAAAATTCTATAATGCACTTGCAATGACTTGGTGAAAATACTAACTAATTGGTTGAGAATCGGCTGCAAAATTTCTTTGACCACCGCATACCCAATGAGCAACATGAATTTATGCCAGACAGATCCACCATCCAACCCATTCAAGAACTCATCAATACTGCTGAGGAATAACTGCAATGGAAGTGTTGCGTTCTCTACTAAGCCTTTGTAGACTACAAAAAGGCAATTGATTCAGTCCCGCATGAGAGACTTAACACAAAGATAATGAATCTAGGATTAAGGGTCCTTGGTCTTCTCAAGAGCATTCTCTCAGATAATTACATTAGAATCAATGATGGCCTACAAAAACAAAGTCAATCTCAGAAACTAGGGATCCATTGGGGGGATTCCCTTCGTCCATACTTGTTTGCCTATTTCACTTGGGACCTGCCTTCTGCCATCAAGATGGCCCATCCCTCTCGGAAGGTGAAGGTATTTGCAGATGACCAGCTGTTTATTCCCTTTTCCTGAGAAGCAATAGCAAAAGGCCTGGAGGCCTTACAAATTTGGTCAAAAGAGATTGGACTCAAATCAGCACAGAGAAGACACAAATCATCAAGTTTAGGAGGGGGCCTCGTTGCGCCAGTATTGATGTCTGAATTCGACGGACACCCCCTGACTATGACCAAATCATACACCTACCTGAGAGTTATATTCCAGACAACTTGCTGCTTTGCAAGACACATCAAGAATGTAGTCTTGAGAGCTACACAAGCAATGTTTTCTTTGCCTAATCCTCATAAGCTGTCTGTTTAAGCTGGAAATAAGCCATTCAACACCAAAATTAAACCAATCCTTTCATATTCTCTAACACCCATCTGGCCCCACCTGCAAGCAGCAACCTGACGTGGTGGTTTTCACCTTTGACGGTGAAAACCACCTTCCTGAAGAGGATATTGTCTCTGTCCCAAAGTGCATCCAACACACTTGTGGACCACGTCAGCCAAGAAACATTAGTGGAAGATCTGATTAAGGAAATGAATCTCCCCAAGAATGAACAGGTCCAGCAATACAGGATGAAGGTGGAAAGAAAGAAAAGGGATATAGAAGAGGATTTCTGCCCAGCCTTAGCAGGGCTTGGACTGGGCCGAACAATGACATTTGACATGTACTAACTTGACACTCCCTCCATGGATTTCGTTTCAAGAGATGTAAAAGCAAAGCCTTCCATTAAGCAGAAGGATGTGTGTGTCGGCTATGTGGGGAGTCAGCCAGCACATATCATCTACTGTCCTGCCACAAGAACACACACTTGCTGACCAATTGGGCAATGTTGGAGTAATGGAACCCTTCTGATGATAATATGCTGTATTGTTCAAAATTTACGGGGGAAATGCCATGTTATGGGGCAGTAAAGTGCTTCTCTAGAATGACATGGTGAATCCCTTATGGTTACTTATTAGAGACAATGGAATGATGTTTGACAATGGGAGAAATTTGCAGGTGGAAGAAGGATGTTCTCTGTCAATGATCGTTATAAAACGTTTACATTTTTCTTGCTGTGTTTCCCTTGCAGATGCCAATTCCTCCTCAGGATGCGATAGACATCGACTACGTTGTGGTAAACAGGGAGGATTGTGCACCCGTGGATAATGCTTCCCCCAGTGAAGAACTTTTGGAGAAACTCAGAAAGGACCTCATGGATCAAATCGAGGTAGCGTGTTGGTGCATGAGCTAATGCATCCCGGGAAAATTGCTCTTGTCTGCTTATGAACTGTAATCTCACAGATATGCATCAAGAACAGAGACAATTTCAAGGCTATGGGAGAGGTAGCCCATGCTAATCGGTTCACCACGATGGGTAATGAACTCTGTCGAGATGTGGAGTTGGTAAAGCTGGCTTCCAAGAGAGGCCAGAAGCTCCCAAGCTTCCACTACGAGACGAGGGTCTTTTCCATCATTCAGTAAGTTTAGATCACTTCCTCGAGGTTAGGGATCGTGAATCTGTTTCGTTTACAGGTGACATTACGTGTTCATGGTTGTGTTTGTCAGGTGCTCCACGGACCTCGGAGACAACGAAGTCGAGGTCACCGTCATTCGTGGCATCAATTATAGTGTGCCAAACCCAACCCAAGTGGATACTTATGTGAAACTAGAGTTCCCCGTCCCCACCGTCAGTCCATACACTGCCTGCCTTGTCGCCATCCAGTCCCACTGTAGTTCCCTGATCGCGTCGCTTGTCTTTCGTCCGTAGGAGGAGCCTCCCAAGGCGAAGACGGGCCTAGTCAAGGACACGAACAACCCTGAATACAATGCCACGTTCAAGTTTGAGATCAATCGCAAGTCGAGAAGTTTGCCGAGGATCTTTCACAGGCATGGTGTCAAGTTTGAAGTCTGGGCCAAAGGGTAAGCTTGAGAATTCAAAGCATTCGTGGCGAATGTAAACCTCATGAAAGTAGCTTATGCATGGAGTTCTTGCCGTTGCGTGGTGCCATTCTGGAACCTATTTGTGCTGGGAATATTTATACGAGGTTTCTTGGTTGTCTGAATAGTGCGTGATGGAGATTTCCAAGGTTGAGTTTTTAAATGCAAATCAGCCAAACCATGTATAGTCATTTTTTAGTTGGAGGATGACCTCTCTGTCTTTCTACGTTTGAGAGTGCTCTAATGTTGAAATCATGCCTAGGAATATGTGTAGGAATGGTTGGTCCTGAAGGTTTAGGGGCATCTTGTAACATCTAACACTGATGTCTAAGATCTACTATCTTGTTTGCTGACGTGTTCAACAGACTTGCAAGGACTACTTTGAGTGGACCTCTGGAGATAAAGCACATGGGGATTTGTGCTTGCCTACTCTAAGTGTCAAAGATTAAACCCAGGATGCTTCACAAGCACTCAGATGCTTTTACTGCGGGAATGACTTCATGTGATTTCCAACATGCATATTGCATGCCAGCCACGACCGAGTCCCCAGGGGCGGGGATCTCTCTCGTCGTCTATCAGGCTTTCGTCCTCTCCGCCCTCCTGCCTTTCTTACTTTTTCGAGCCGCCGCTTTATCCTCGTGCAAGGCCATGAATCGACGGATGAATTTCTTTGAGAGGTGCGGGAGTAAAGGAAGGAGGCATATATGCAAATTGCACATACATTTTTGATAAGCACTATGTACAGACATGATTTATTTATGGACGAATGGAATCGGACTTTCCTGAGTGAAGCTTAATAAAAAAAATTTGTATTTGTTAAGCTCACAGAGAAACAGAGAAAAGCACTTCGGGCATTATAATCTCTTGAGATGAATGGCGAGGGGGGATACCGGCATGGGATGTCCGCAGCTGTGCATTCCTCGGAAGCGATTCCTTGCCCCTTGCTTTACTCCCCGTGATGGGGATAAGAAGTCACGGGAAAGGGATGGGAAGAGGCGGGTCGATCAAAGGCCTGGTTCGCCGGGACCCAGTCCCGGTGGCTAGGAGTTGAGGTTGGGCGCCCTGCACGGGGGTTGAGAGAGAGAGAGAGAGAGGAAGGAGATCGGAGATGTTTACGCCGGATTCGATGGTCTCGTTAATGGGGTGACGGGATGTTTGCATGGTTCGCTTCCCTGCTGCGAAGGATCAGCATCAAAGAAAGACAAAAAAAGAAAGAAAGGGGGAGGAGAGCTCAGTCAAGTAATGAGTCTCCATTTGGTGCACTTAGAGCACAGCACAGAAACGCAGGAAAAATCTCGGGGAATGTGGCGGAGGAGCGGCGGGGGAAGAAAATGCCAGAGGGCGATTGTGGATTGATGGATTATCGAACCCGAGAGGCGCGTGGTCCTTATGTGTTCATTATTTATGGTTAACTAACTCCATAAATATTCAAATTGGAAATATGATCGTCAAGCACGAGTCCATAATACGAAGGAAACTGCACCGTAGCTTCCTTAGCTCCCTAGAGGAAAGCGGGAATAGACGCTTCTGCTTTCTCTTTTTTTTTTTAAGGGCTGGGGGGGGGGGGGGGGCGATGANATAGACAGGCTCAGTGATTACATTTTTTTTTTAGCATAAAAACCATTGTACATGAAGTATGGGCATAAACTGACGGAGGATTTTTTTTGACGATGTTCTAGGGTGGATGATCCCATTGCTTTGATCCCTGTGAGAGTTGATGAATTTATAACTTATTTGCTCGGTCCGACAAATTTGTTATTGAATCACATTATCCACTGTCCAATAAAGTAGTCAAAGCCATGTAGACATCAAGTTGATCACATTACGAGGTTTATTAAGAACTCAGTGAAGTTGGAAACGTTAGTAGAGGAAGGAGAGAGACGCAGAAGCACACGCACGCGCACGCGCACGAACGCACGCACCTACAGTCATATGGACATTTGCATAATGCTTGAGAATTCTCGCGTCTTCTGCAAAGGAAGGGTCTAATTTGCGAAACAAGGGAAGGAGGTATGCTAAAAACGACAGTTTACTGCATCCGATCAGTGCCAAGTGCAACACCCATTTCTTCTTTGGCAAGTGCTGACCGAAGGAAGTCTATCTGGAACCAGTTCAAATGTCTCGGTAGAGAAGTGACAAATTTCGCAATTTTCCCGTACAGACTTGATCAATCCCACCCCCCTCCCCCCCTTGTCCGTTCTTTTCCTGAAAGAGCTCGTTCTTTCTCACGAGGAAGTGGAACATGCTCTAATCTTAGTTCGTCTCGTCTTGTTCATTATGCAAACACCCTTGGGATCGACTTGAAATTCCATTTGCTTTTGAAACTTTTTGTATGTTGAGAATGAGCAGGGCCTGAGAGCCATCGGTCTCCTCTGGGATTTATGTGAACTCGAGTGTGGGCGAAGAACTACACCGTCGATGTTACCTCGCCCGCCGTACTAGTTGCACTGTATCGTTGCGATCCCTCTCTTTGTGGGGACCGCCGAGGCGGGTTTTTGTTATGCTTTGTCCATGGGGAATCGGGGATGCTTCGAGGTGCCTGGGGGAACTTCCTGGCGCCCTCCCCCCCTCGTTGCTCCTCCCGAGCGAGTGCGAGGAAGATGGGTGTGCGGTCGGGTGGCTGCATGCTGCATGGTCGCCGGTGCCCTCCAGTGGCTGACCGGATGCTCTGCCGGGATGGAATCCCTATACAGGGTGGGCCAAAAATATATTGGGTTATCTTGAACGCTTCACGGCGTAGTTTCTAGAGAGTTTTAACATATTGATGGAGCGTTTCTTTATAAAACATTTATTTCGCTTTCCTCTGACGTCAAAAGGTTTCAGATCCAATTTGTCATCCCGTTGTAGTCACGCACAATGTAACAGAAGTAACGCTAGAAAAGTGCACTTACCAGTACAATATGGGATATGCTCCAGGTGACGTCCGTTCTTTCGGTTATGGCGAATAGGCGAAGTCTCGCATGCACTGGCTGAAATCGCAGTGACACCAACTTTTCCAGCGCCACCTCTTATACTCTTTAACTGCTTGGTAGTTAGGCCACGAATCTTTATTTTGTTGACATCATCAAAGCTAAATGAATGTTCTTCATAGAGGCACTATTACAATTTTAACAAACTCTTGGGAACCAGTGCTATGAAGTGACAAAGATACCTAAGTTTTTTTGGCCACCCTGTACCTTGGAGGGTTGGGTGCAGGGAGGTATCACTCCATACATTTTTCGTTTCAGAAGTCTTTTGCGGAGTGACTCCTTGATCGGGACTGCCGTCTTGAAGCTGCAGCCTCTCGAGTCGAAGATTACCGTCCACGAAGCCTGTGATGTGAGTCCCCTCTCCCTCGGAACCATTACCTAGCGATCGCACGCGGAAACCGCACAAAGCTTGCACTTCTCGCCCGATCGCAGTTGATGAACGGAAGGAAGCCCGCGGGCGGGAAGCTGGAGGCGAAGGTGCGCCTGAGGAACCCGATCCACGGGAAGCAGGTGGAGGAGGTCAAGTACAAGTGGCTCGTGATCGACCACGTCTGACCGTCCCCCCCGCTGCCGGGTGAGTGCGGTGGCGTCCCTCCGCGTGGACGTTCGTTACGTTCCGTTGTATCGAGACCATTGGTGATTCCGGGAGTCTTAATGGTGGGGCGTAATGAATGTGTGGAGATGGAAGTCCCCCTGATGATGCCCGAGAAAAAAGTAGATGGATTGCTATTATGTCGTATCTATGGAATGAAGACGTTTCTGCACGCAAGAACTGGGCCTTTTTTTTCCCACGGAGTGATCGATCACCACGGCAGAACATATTTGAGGAGTAACACGAGCCATGGAAACCATGTGATGAAAGGGATTAGCACAGTGATTCGATCGTACTGGAATCCAGGAGGGGAGAACATTCATTATTAGGCTGCCTTTGAAAATAGTCTTGCAAAAAATATTCTTAATGGAAATCCTAATCAGATTGAGTACCGATATGAATAGGTTATTGAATATTCTCTTGGCTGCACTCAGCCTCCTTTATCAGCATCAAAAGTGCAGGGATTTCCTGGATATTCCCCCTGGATCTCGGTAAGTATCCTAGAGGAAAGAAGGAAAGAAGAAAATTTGATTACTAATCCCTATCGTTCGAGAGGAATATGAATATTTGAAGGTTTTTCTGATGGCATTAACGTTGGATAACGTTGGAACGTTGGATTTTGTGACCGAAGCCTTCGACTGAGATTTTATTCGAATGTTAGACTAATCTGCATTCAAGTATTTGACTAGTCTGATTTGAATCTCCCAGGACCCCCTCCACGTCGCCTCGAGAGGAATTCCGCGTAATCGCCTCGATCGAACGAGGGGCACGGATCTGTCTCTCCGGACAGGCTCGTTCGCGGCCGACGGGGAATAATGGCGTGTGACAGGTAATGAGAGCGGATAACGAATCTTCCGGCCCTCGTGAATCATTGAAAAGCCGGAGCAGGCGAGCGGAAGCTACCATGTCTCCTCCGACAGAAGATATTTCGTGGAACGGTTTCTCCCCTCCCTTCAAAGCGGGAGGAGATGGGGGGAGGGAGGCAGACGTTAGACCCCCCGCACGGAACGACTGGATGAAGAACTCCCGCTTTCAATCTCTGGAGCCCAGAGAG